AGTGGGGCATATGGGGGGCAGAGATAGCCTACAGTTCAGGGAAGTGGGGCATATGGGGGGCAGAGATAGCCTACAGATCAGGGAAGTGAGGCATATGGGGGGCAGAGATAGCCTACAGATCAGGGAAGTGAGGCATACAGATAGAGGGAAAGGGGGCAGAGATAGCCTACAGATCAGGGAAGTGAGGCATGGGGGGCATAGATAGCCTACAGATCAGGTAAGTGAGGCATGGTGGGCAGAGATAGCCTACAGATCAGGGAAGTGAGGCATGGGGGGCAGAGATAGCCTATAGATCAGGGAAGTGAGGGATGGGGGGATACAGCCCATAGATCAGGTAAGTGAGGGATGGGGGGGAGACAGCCTATAGATCAGGTAAGTAAGGGATGGGGGAAGGTAAAGTAAGAGAAGGAGCAGAAAGGAGAAGGAAGGAGCAGAAAGGGGCAGCAAGGATCTGGAAGGGACAGCAAGGACCACAAAAGGTAAAGTAGGAGAAGGAGCACAAAGGAACACAAATGAGCAGGAAGGGGCAGCAAGGAGCAGGAAGGGTCTGCAAGGAGCAGGAAGGGTCAACGAGGAGCAGGAAGGGTCAGCAAGGAGCTTAAAATAGCAGCAAGGAGCAGGAAGGGACAGAAGGAGCACAAAGGTGAAGTAGGCGAAGGAACAGAAATGAGCAGGAAAGTTCTGCAAGGAGAAGGAAGGGTCTGCAAGGGACAGCAAGGAGTAGGAAGGGTCTGCAAGGAGTCCAAAGGGTCTGTAAAGAGCAGAAAGGGACAGAAGGAGCACAAAGGTAAAGGAGCAGAAAGAATCAGAAGGAGCACAAAGGTAAAGTATGAGAAGGAGCAGAAAAGGGTAGCAAGGAGCAGAAAAGGACAGCAAGGAGCACAATGATAAAGTAGGAGAAGGAGCAGAAAGGGTCTGCAAGGAGCAGAAAGATCAGAGAGAGAAAGGAGCAGAAGGGGGAGCACAATAAGCAGAAAGTAGCAGAAAGGTAAAGAAGCAGAAGGAGCCAAGGAGGAGAGAAGACAGTGTCAGAAGAAAAAGAAGACTGTGTCAAATGAAGGAAAAGAAAAGGAGATTGGAGCAGGAAGGACAAGTGAAGTGAACCCTCCACTTTATTCTGGACACCACATCATAAGGCTTTGGTACCTGGGTTTGGACGTTCTCATCTCCCCAGGTAAAAAAATATCAGTGTTAATGTGTTCACTTTTATTTACTGAGTGTCAGGAAGCACAGAGGGCCGCTGGGGAGGGGTGTCGCTGATTGGCTAGAGCGGTCAGCTGGCACTCTAAGCCAATCAGTAGCTCCCCATTCATAAAAAAGTAAAACATTTTTATGAACCGGGAACTAGCGATTGGCTTAGAGCGTCAACTGACCACTCTAGCCAATCTGTAGCACCATGCCTGACGTCAATCTGCACTTCCTGACACTCCGTTTCAGAAGCCGAATACCACTGAGCGACCTGGAAATCTGGAGCTGGAGAAAGCCTTTGGGGTTAAACCATTTGAGAACGATTTAATCGCTTAAAGGAAAGAGAGCACCCAGGGGCTTCCTGACATCATAGCATTTTCATTTAGATGATGTTGTTATGGTGACCAGAATGTTCCTTTAATTTGCTTAAAGGAACACTATAGTGTCAGGAATACAAACATGTATTCCTGACAACATAGTTGTGAAAATGCTATTCACCCTGGCTTTATGTGATAATGACTATGCTCCTCCCCTTCATGACACTGTCAAAAAGGGACCAAGCATGGATGTCATTACAATTATGCCCCTCCCCCCAAATTCCTGCTGGACGCCCATGCACAGGAGCCTAGATCTTGTCTCGCGATTACCAAGACAATGCATGATTCTGACAGCCGTTGTTACTAACAGCTGTGGTAGTTGATAAAAGTTGGGAAAAAGGTGGAGCTTTGCCATTTGCCAATGTTTGCCAACTTGAAGCATTAACACAAAACAATGTAGAGAGTACTTCAATGAAACTCGGTCTCAGTCAATATGAGCATTTCATAAATATTCTATCCTACTGAAATGCTCCCAAATAATTTTTGGGTGACAGAGATCCTTTGAAAAGAAGGAGGAGAAGAAATGGATGAACATAGTAGAGCAGTAAAGGTTGTGGAAGTATAGGTATATTATAAGTCAGTGACAGTGAGTACATCTTAAATTTAAATAAAACTGTCATGATCTTGAGCAGGTCAGACAAGAGACTTTGACCAGAGTTAACGTTCTTTATTGGTGAGTTTGGACATAATAAAGTAACAGGAAATCCTAGAAATGAAATTATAGGGAGAAGGAAAATAAAAGAAACAGAGGTTTAGGCAATATGCCCCAGACAGGTTATAAAACAGGATATAAGTAGACAGAAGCAGATACCTATAGAAGAAAATATAGGTTATATAGAAAAACAAGTAAGCAGAACAGAACAGTAGGTTTTCAGAAATACAGGTAAAGTAGAACTTTAGTGAATCATTCCCCTGCTGAATGGACTACTGATAAAGCAGGAAAATAACACCTTGTAATATTAGTTAGTAACAAAGTCCAGGTTGGTGTTATGCAGGTTGGTATATAGCAGGTTGGTAACAAAAGGTTGATAATGTAGATCAGGTTGGTCTCCTATATGAAGGAAGCAAAGAAGGTAAGTCCATAGGTGAGATTACAGGAGCCAGGAACAGAAGTCTTTTTGGTTGACCATCAACTTCATTGTAAAGGCCATATAGTGAGTAGGGTGTAACCTTTTGTAGGATAGTAATTAGTCCAGGTAGGTGAGAATGTATCAAGGTAAGTTCTGAGTTAGTGGTTAGGGAGACCATTAGTGGTGGGGAGCTGAAACTTATTGTAACAAATTAGAAGAAAAGAAACATAAACTCAGTTGTCGGGATAGTAAAATGCTACCGTCTTGATTATGTTTTAACGCATATTTGCACTGTAATGGTATTGTTACCTACCACCAACACTGTATGGAATTCTTCCCATAAAAAGCAATAACAGAGGATTCTTGGAGGTAAAAGTGGGAAAAGAAGAAAAGGTGAATATCAGAAGATTTGGAGATACATGTGCATGTATTTAGAGAGGGATAATTATGTGGGAGTTGAATTTTTAAGAAGAATGTGTAAGAATTCTAGATCTTTTAATCTGTAGTCTATCTGAAACATCAACTCATGAAACAAGGTTAAACCTTTGTTAATAGAATGTTTAATCTTTTTCAGTTAAGTCTAATCACATTCATAACAATGTAATCTATGTATCTTATATGGGAATTATTAAAAGGTAAAATGCACAAACGTTTGTCTGTGAGTATAATTAGATTTATTCTACAGACTCTTACTTAGCGGCTGCACAAGCCACCGGGGGCTGGATACGGCATATTAATTAAGGAACCATTCACAGATTGTCAAGAAAGGGAAGACAATTTAATAAAAACCTGTAGTTTATTTAATCAGATAATATATCTAAAACTGGTATGAAACAGAGAACTTGGTATACAAATATTTTTAGTTTCTGCCAGTGCTTTTTTTGCTTCCATCATCACTGCCATGTGATGACAAGTGTCTGATTAATCATCTGTGAAGCACTTCAGGCAAGTAACGTTTTCCTCCCCTCTTAATGAATTGTATCAAGGTACTATACAAAAAAAAAGAACACTTGTTAATGGCAATGACTGCACTTACAATGCACATGGCGTGTGATGTGTTGACGTCTTTTTTTAATGTTATTTGTGTCTGTGACGGAGCTCCAGTACTCTGACCGAGTACCTCTGCTAAGTCTGCTTCCTCGTAGCTATCAGGGGCCCTGGAGCACTTCTGACACAGTCGCTGAGGCTGGACTGGGATCACTGAGGGCCTTTTCCACCATTGACCAGGCTACTTTATCTTTAGCCCTGGACACACTTTTCATCAGCAGATTATATCCCTTTCCCCAAACACCAGATGGAGGAAGATGACACTTGGTTTAGGTTAAAACAGCAACTGCATTTAATATACATAGCACACATATTTATGCCCCCAACAGCCTATAGTGTATAGAGCTGTTGGGGGGCAGGTTAGACAATAGCAAGGGCTGATGGGAGATTGAGGAGGGAAATGACTGCTAGTTTAAACTGCTCTGGCAGTGTCCATGGGACAACACCCTGCAGGGGAAACAATAGGACAGGAAAAAGGGGGAGGGGAAAGGCACAGACAATCAATAATATAATGTGAGTCTGTGCAAATAAGGCGCTTAAATCTATTAAGTGAACAAGTAAATATGAAAGCTGCTAACACACGATAATAGGGACTCTCCACCCCACTTCCAATAAGTATACAAAAGTGCACTATAAAACCAACCGGTGTACAGAACAAAGTGTGTAGCGCTGAATAAAATTAGCACTTACCCCTAAGGGTTAACAACGTTATACAATGAATTCCCTACAGGGGAATAAAATAAACAATATATAGTGTAGTATATTAGAGAGATAATGGTGTAAATAATCCCAATAATGGATCCACTCACATGATACAGAGCCACTTGAGGACCGGCTCTGATCTCTTCCACTTGTGTGTACTTAAAGGTGACACGCACCTATAGCATCCATATCAAATGCAGACCTCAAACAGAGAAAAGAGAGAAGCTTCTTTGGTACAGAAATCCCAAACAGAGTGTATACAAGTGAAATAAAATAAGGCTTCTCACCTTGTCCAGAGCCTTGAACTAGGCTCTGAGTTAAAATGGTAGATGTGACAATATAGGGTGTCACTACCCTTCTTTATAGCAGCATGGACAATTCTTGAAGATTAAAAAATTAACAAATATTTATTATAAATAAAAATATATAAAATAACAGACCAAATATAAAGTCTTGTTGTCCGAGACGCGTTTCGCTGATCCTCAGCTTTCTCAATCGGTGCCGTCCATGCCGCCGGTCTTCTTTTTTACTTCCTAGATAGGAGGAGTTAGGACTACGTCATCCGTGATACTACCAACCACGGACGACGTTAGGCGCATGCGTAGTACTGCGTATTCTAACCTTTCGTGACGTCATCGCGCACGATGTAGCGTGCGTGTGACGTCACTTCCGGTTTCCACGAAATGCCGTCCTCATTAAGGTTTCCCATAGTCCGTGTGTGTTTTCTTAGATCCGCCCCGTTTAATTTCCACCATTTCAGTTCAGGGCAGAGTATGGGCACGATGGAATGAAGAGCCTCCATTCTTATTAGGCTGTGTTGCACACCAATTTACCCTATACAGCCATACTCAAAAAGGAGTATACACATAAAAAGAAAATATATACAAGAATCAGAATTCCATCAATCTTAAAGATACATCAACTATGAAATATAAAAATACATCAAATATAAAAAATGCAATCTGCTTTACTAATATGTCTTAATGACGATATGTAATAACCATAATATCTTAAAATGACAAAAAAAAAAAAAAAAATTATATATGTATATATATATATATATTTATAGTATAGCATTAAAAAATATATATATAAAAAAATCTAATCCAAATAAAATGTAACTTTTATATATGATGGCTATTATAGAAAGTGACATAGCTCAAAATCGTCATTAAGTCCATATGGTTGCATAGTGTTTAAATTAAAAATCCATTGCATCTCTGTTTGCCCTATATGTTTCAACAAATCTCCACCTCTCCAATTCACAACAATTCTTTGTATTCCTATAAAATTCATTAGATGGGGATCACAATTATGTTTTTCTTTAAAGTGCAGTGAAACGCTATGTTTTTCAAACCCTTTTTTGATGTTTCGTACGTGTTCTTGTATCCTAGTGTTTAATGTCCTTATGGTTCTGCCTATATAGGCTAGTCCACAGGGGCAAGTGATCATGTAAATAACTTTGTTTGAATGACAAGTGATCATTTGTTTGATCTTAAATTGTTTAGCTCCATTCCCTGGAGGATTAAATTCTTTTGTGTGGCATTTTATACTGTTGGTGCCTTTGCAGGCTCCACATGTGCCGCAACCGTAAAATCCATATGATTGATTAAGGAAATGTTTCGTTTGCTGTTTAGGTGGTATATGGTTGTGTGTCAAACTGCTCTTTAAATTACGTACTCCCCTATAAGTAATTGTAGGTTTTTCCGGAAGAATAGAGTTAAGCATAGGGTCACCCATTAGAATAGACCAATGTGTTTGTATGATTTTTTTCAGACGTCTATTATTACTGTTAAAATCACAAATAAAATTCAGATTCTGAAATTCTGGGTCTGTTTTCTTATCTTTATATTTAATTAATTCATTCCTATCAATGCCATCAACCTCTATATATGCTTTCTCTAGAAGTTCCTTCTTGTATCCTTTTTCACTAAAATCATTGATAATTCTAACGGATTGTTCCCTAAATTTATCTTCTTCAGTGCAATTTCGTTTAATCCGTAAAAGTTGTGCCTTAGGTGCATTTAGCAACCAAGGTGAGAAGTGACAGCTATTTTCGCATATATAACTATTTACGTCTACTTTCTTAAAAAAAGTGCAAGTTTTCAGTGTACTTCCCTCTATATATATATTAAGGTCCAGGAACTCAACCGAAGTTTTACTAAAATTACAGGTAAGGCGAATACCCCAATCATTTGTATTTAGATGGCTTAAAAAACAATTTAAAGAATCCTTGTCTCCTCTCCAAATAAAAAATATATCATCGATGTAACGGCGATAGGTAACGAGGCCCGCAGCCCACCTATCGTCGTCATGGATAAACTCTTGTTCCCAGAGTGCCATGAACAGATTAGCGTAGCTGTGCGCGAACCTCGTTCCCATCGCCGTTCCACATGTCTGGAGATAAAACTGCTCCTCAAACCAAAAATAATTGTTTGTGAGGATCCATTTTATACCCTCAATTATAAAGTTGATTTGTTTATCAGAGAATACTATAAATATATATATATATATTTTTTTTTGTTGTTGTCATTTTAAGATATTATGGTTATTACATATCGTCATTAAGACATATTAGTAAAGCAGATTGCATTTTTTATATTTGATGTATTTTTATATTTCATAGTTGATGTATCTTTAAGATTGATGGAATTCTGATTCTTGTATATATTTTCTTTTTATGTGTATACTCCTTTTTGAGTATGGCTGTATAGGGTAAATTGGTGTGCAACACAGCCTAATAAGAATGGAGGCTCTTCATTCCATCGTGCCCATACTCTGCCCTGAACTGAAATGGTGGAAATAAAACGGGGCGGATCTAAGAAAACACACACGGACTATGGGAAACCTTAATGAGGACGGCATTTCGTGGAACCGGAAGTGACGTCACACGCACGCTACATCGTGCGCGATGACGTCACGAAAGGTTAGAATACGCAGTACTACGCATGCGCCTAACGTCGTCCGTGGTTGGTAGTATCACGGATGACGTAGTCCTAACTCCTCCTATCTAGGAAGTAAAAAAGAAGACCGGCGGCATGGACGGCACCGATTGAGAAAGCTGAGGATCAGCGAAACGCGTCTCGGACAACAAGACTTTATATTTGGTCTGTTATTTTATATATTTTTATTTATAATAAATATTTGTTAATTTTTTAATCTTCAAGAATTGTCCATGCTGCTATAAAGAAGGGTAGTGACACCCTATATTGTCACATCTACCATTTTAACTCAGAGCCTAGTTCAAGGCTCTGGACAAGGTGAGAAGCCTTATTTTATTTCACTTGTATACACTCTGTTTGGGATTTCTGTACCAAAGAAGCTTCTCTCTTTTCTCTGTTTGAGGTCTGCATTTGATATGGATGCTATAGGTGCGTGTCACCTTTAAGTACACACAAGTGGAAGAGATCAGAGCCGGTCCTCAAGTGGCTCTGTATCATGTGAGTGGATCCATTATTGGGATTATTTACACCATTATCTCTCTAATATACTACACTATATATTGTTTATTTTATTCCCCTGTAGGGAATTCATTGTATAACGTTGTTAACCCTTAGGGGTAAGTGCTAATTTTATTCAGCGCTACACACTTTGCTCTGTACACCGGTTGGTTTCATAGTGCACTTTTGTATACAGACAATCAATACATTCAACATACCTTGCACCAATACTGGGCAAAGGGTGACCAAAACACAAAAGGAATCTGGGGACCCAAACATAGTGTCTGTCTTCCATCCTCTGTGATGGTGACTACCATCACAGTGTCATCGAGCGTGGTGAGTATCTTGCTGTCCGATGCACTGGATACCAAGGGTGGTGGATCTGATGCCGGCTTCATTTAAGGTGGTTTTGTTTGGCATGGCACAGTCTCAATGTTTGGCCAACACAAAGGCTCTTAAGTCATTATTAGTACCACTTTTTTGGATATGTGTACCTGTGTGGCTCTGTGATTATTAGCAAAAGTAAACAAAATGGCTTCATTGGACTTTTCTACCTATCTGATCATATATAGTTACAGTTAAAGCAGTCAAACTTAGTTTAATTTAGAAGTGTTTGTGGAAAATATAACGAGATATGTCTGGAGGAGTTGGATTGCAAATGAGGAAGATTAGGACTTTGGGCAACGAAAATATGACTGTTGGATTTGATGGTTTATGGAGGAGTGCTAATGGCTATAGGGGATTTTGTGTGTTATATAAGGAATTCAAATATAGCTGAGAATTGAGGAAAATATTAGACTTGTGCACAACAAAAAAGTGAGTTTCGTCCAGGTGTCATCAATGTGGCGTTTGGGTTTGGACAAATTTTGTCTATGTGATTGTTTCAGGAAAAACGATTCGCATAAACCAATACGCTGCGAAAATGCACCTATTGTTGTACTTAGAAAATATACAGATTATTAACATTATTTATGCATTTTGCAGTACACCGATAGGCGTATTTTTGCACCTTTTAATTCACAAATCAGTGAAAAGAAGAGACCAGTGTAGAGAAAATAAGAGCAGTAAAACTATATATATATATATATATATATATATATATATATCATATATTTATTAAATATATGTTTATTAAATATATCCTATATCAATATAGGTTTGTTTTTTTTAATGATTCTCCTGTGTTCCCTCTGTTGGTCACTTGATCTGTGGCAAACGGAGAATATAAATAAGGATGTGTTAGTATGCTGTGGACATGCATGATGCTTCTCCGTAACAGCATGAGATATATTGTGTTGGATGAGTGTTTCAATCTTATGTCCTAAAGCATCTGGCACTTATTAGATTTAGGTAGTAGCAAGAGCTCTGTGACATATGAATAATCAGATAAATTAGTTGAATCATTTACTAATTGTATCACTGCTAAATATTCATAAACAAACGTATTTGAGATCTGATGTGCTGTCTGAAATGGTAATTAAAAGATATGCAGACCTTAACATTTTGTAGTATGTTGGTTAGTAAATCGGTTTACTCTATGCTATCCATTGAGATGTTACATTGCGTGATGTTCCCATAATAGATGCCTCTTGTATTTAAAGTGGTTTTTTTTTTACCTTAGTTTGTTGTAACATTGCCTATGTCAGCCTGCCCAGCTTAAAATAACTCTCAAAACACCATAACCACTACATCAAATACCATAACCAATACATCAGGCTCTTAGCCAATATGCTCAGTGCTGCATGGTCCTGCCTATCTCCTGCAGGGTGATCCAGAAGCAGGGTAAGCAGTAGTGGGCAACCAGAGTGACCCAGATAGGTAGTCACCATGACCAGTACAGCTGGCGATAGTAGTTATGATGCTTGAAGCATTCCTTTAAGAGTTAAGACCAGTTATGGTACAAGTCAAGCTAAGTTTGCATTAAATCTTTGAAAACATTATTTAATTATCCTTTTGCTTGTCAAATATTTTGACACTTGGTATATATTTTTTATATATGGTCTATTTTGGTATATTTATAAAGTCAAAATATTTTGTGAATTTTTAATATTTGGATATTCAATAAAGTTCGATTTTTATAATATTTGCCCAAACTGCATTCTTCCATGGGTTTGCTGCTTCTCTCAAATTGAGTTTTTTGGGGGAGTTTTTGTGTTGCTGATTTCAAGAACGCCCAAATCAAAATCGGGGAAGACATACGAATTACTGCTATGTACTGCCATTAAGACAAATAGTAGACAACACATATATATATTTTTTTATTTACATTCGTGTTACTTACATTTTTTAATTTCTTCAAAGCAGCGGGCAGACCAGATATCCAGATACTTCTTATTTATAAATTATGTTCCATGTTTGATCTCTATAATTAGACGCATGAATCTAGAGTAACAGAGTGCGGCGATTATCCTTCAATGACACTGATATAAAAGATGACCTTGTCATAGAGAAAAAGTGGTTAGATATGTGCCTCCACTACTTTTGTGTATGTGAAAGAGAGCAGCACATGTTTATGGACGTCAGAATATAAAACCACTGTACTGATTGTGGTGTGGGGCTGAAACATTTAATCTGGACTATTTTAAAGTGTCACTTGTAGAAGGACATGGATTCGATGTGTGAAAGCGCCACAAGGCTATACATGTGCTACATTCTCAATTCCGCTTTTAAACAATATTTATTTCACTTGCCATCAAAGAGTTTTTTTTCTACTTTTATGATGCAGATTACTAAACCACTTTAGAGCTTATGACAATAGACCTATGGCCTACAAAGAATGTCCTCTCTACAGGCCATTAGAAAGTTTATAGAACCATGGTAATTGTAAATGCATAGAACAACTTATGTTAGAATAGTTACTCTAAAGATCAGATTATTATGTAGCCCACATCATCGTTGGCTGTTAAAAGAACACATTTGGCACCATACCTACTTCAAAAAGGTTCATGGTGCCTAATCTCCCCTGGTGCTTTATTACATTTTAAGTCCATTTTCAAATGTTTTAACACTGCATATGTGTCCCGAGACACTGGTCTGCAGTCTCTCCTCCTAGCTCGAGCAGCAAACGGTGGTTGGTAGATTGGCTGAGAACATCAACTGATGCAATCTATCTCTGGCCCCACATCAAGGATTTTAAATGTTTGTACATTTACCCACGATGTGTGGACAGTGATTGAGATAGTGTTCTATCGACAACTATGAGACATTTGCTTTGGCACTGTTTAGAATCAGACCCTTTATGGAATAATATGCATTACTTTAGTAAGGGGGTTTCATATCTCGTTTTTACAGAGACTAAGTAAGTCACTAAAAATGCCCTGCCATGTCTACTTTTACATGAGTATGCCCTTGTTTGTTAACCATATTCCATTATTATAGGGAAGATGTGATTCACAGTAAAGAAAAACAGACAAAAAATTTTTTTTGCTAAATATTCCCCAATTATTCTACATATCTTGAAGGTGGCGCTAATGACATTGCATAGGTAATTATAATTTGCATCTTGTAGAAGCTTAGATCAGAGGACTCAACCCCATCCAAAGCCTGCCTTTAATATAGATATCTGGGTAAAAAAAAAACACCACCACCATTTTCTTCCAGGAGAATAATCTACCAATCATACCCCTCAAGATTTTCAATATGTTCCTCGTAGTTACAGTGTGCAAATTCTCAGGTTAAATTTGTAATTGCATTGGGTAAATAAACAGATCCGAACATTGTTCTAACAAATTCTCTGAATAAATGGGCTGATTCTTCAATTAAAATGACCAATTTCTTTAATTAAATGGACAGATTCCAAGGGTGTGTGGGTCACTTCTCAAGATTTCAAGATAAATATGCATATATCAAAAGATGAATATGGAAATTACATCAGTCACAACTTGTAGCATTTGGCTAAATGTGTTTAAAAATACATATGATTAAAAATAATTACTAATCTTTATGAAAACCACCTTTGATCTTCTTGATTGTGAAAAGCTATTATACACTGTATTTTCATGATTTTCAGTTATTATTATTATTATTTTGTTATTTATATAGCGCCAGAAAATTCCATAACACTGTACAATTGTTACCTATGGAATGATTGAGCCTTTTCCATTCCTTTGCTGGCTCCATTTTTACAGTAGAGAATGAGTAAATGATAAAAATAATCTAAAAAATTAACTTGTAGACTTTTCGTCTTTTAAATGTTAAAATTTTCAATTCAAAGGAGGAAAATCAGGGAACCACCATAACTAAGGGTGCCCCTGATCAATAGGTGAGCCAAAGGAGGAGCCTGTAATTGTGGGAGGCGTTATCCGGCCTCTAAACATTCCGTCCGCCCCTTCCCCAGGGTCGTTAACGTCTGGGTTAGCCGGAGCATCTACTTTCGGTTCTGGCCCACTCCACTCACCCATGAGAAGCTGCTCGAATGCTGTCTCCCTGTAGGCCACAACTTTCCCGCCCGTTCACACTCCTCCTACGTCCATTCCCAGCTCCCTCTGGCCCCTGTAACCTTACTCACCAAGGATTTCCACCACTGTTGCTGGTACAGCGCCGTGCCTAAAAATCCGCTGACCTCCGATCTACTGGTCTTCTGGGTCACCTCTTAAGTTTCCAGGTCAATCGATCAACCATGTTTGGTCACACAGAACCGTGGGTCCATACTAACCATACAGCAGCCTGACCCAAGCATGAAGATGAGTATCAGTATAGCAAAGTTAATGAAGTGGACTACATTATAATTTATGTATGCCTTTTTTGACTTTATTTAACAATTTAATTTTAACAATAAACAATATACAGATAACAAAAATTGCAAAATTAGGGAGCGGAGCCTGACCTCCGAGCAGAGCGAACGCCTGCAGAGCGAGCTCCCACCTAACGAGCAGATTTTGGGGCACAATCTGAGGCTCAAGAGCCAGCATATCCACTGTGGTGCACTACCCTTGTTGTGGGTGCTCTGTTCAAGCAACTGACACCTCACTCTAGCCCGTCGCAGCCGGGAGAATGCAACGCTGTACCGCGGTCTACCAGAGCTGGAGCTAGGGAGAGGCGGCCGCTCTCCCCGATGCTAGACTCGCCAAACGACACAGTCGGACTCGGTCTTGGTCTCCAGTAGACGCCCACTGGGGCACAAACCGAGGTACAGTGATCACAGGGGCCAAGCAACCAAACCGCATGCTTCAATTTAAGATGGCGGCTACACGGAGTGTAGCAAGCGGGACCCCCACGAGGACCACATAGCAACAGCCTTTGACCACTTCTGGGCACAATTATGGGCCAAACTGTCACAGACCCAAGCAGCCAAAGCAGTCTCTCAACAGCCCATTACCTCACCTACACTAAAACCGGCTCCGAAAAGCAGGGCCAAGCCACTAACCGTGAAGAAGCAGAAGAGGAGATGAGGAGTGTGCCCCGACTCACAGGACGCAGACCTAACACCAGGCACCGCCTGCCTGGGCCCCGGGACAAACGGAGGTCCCCCATTTACGGCCCTTTGCTTCTCAAGCCAAAGAGGCGCACCTGAAGGGTTCCTGCTCGGCCTACTGCCGGAGAAGCCAAGATGGACGCTCGGCAAATTAGCCGTCCACAACCCTGCAAAGCTGCTACAAGTGCCCAGAAGGGCTTTGACCCTTTCTCCGGAGGAGTAACAAAGACAGCAGCCCACGGATCGGCCTGGGGAGAAGTGAGACCGGCGCACCACCACGAGCATACCTATGCCACACAAGGTACCCACAGAAGACCTGGAGGCAGAAGTGGAGCCCCTCAGGCTCTCTTACCTGGCAGCGGTGCCGAAATAAATCCTGCTGAGCCGGGACTGTGGTATCGGCTGATGCTTTGCCATGGACTCAAAGCCTACTTATGGTTCAAACAAAACATAAGGCTAGCTCTTTGGGAGTGTGCATGTCGAACACATTTTTTGTTATGTCAGCAACTGTTATAACCCTACATACGCAACTCACCTCGTATTGCAGCACTTATACCTGCACTAGTTTTATTAACCCCTCGCAGCTTGTTTAGCCTGTGTTGAACCCGTGATTAGCAGTCTAGTATTAAGTACCCTAATCTATGTATGTCTGAGGGTGAATGCCATGATATAAACTATGGTTAACAGAAATTACCTGCAACTAGTCTGTTTATAACATGCATAATCTTACTTAACCTTCCTAACTATAAAATTGTGCAAGTACTAACGTATACCCCACTGTTTCAAATGTTTGAAAAGCATGATGATTGATGTTGGGGTAACCCATGCAAGTTTTGTTCTTTCATTTGCACTGCAAAAATTTTAAAAAAATTAAAAAATTATACCCATCCAAATATTTTGATGTTAAGAGAGCCATATAGACTTACCCTATTATTCATGATTAAAGAAATTTGAAAACAGAAGGGGCAAAGTTGAATCCCATGGTCGTGTCTAGCTCCCACCAAATTAAAATGTCATAATGAGCCACCACTAGAAGCTATGTATAATAAATAGCCAAGACTGTTGTGTTTTGCAAGAGGAGACTATTCTTCTCTCTGCTGAGAATTCCCACTTTCTTTTTTTCGTTATTTGCTCTAATTTCTTTACTGTACCAGCTTCTTTATCCTGGGTTCTGCCATGTTTCACTCCTCCTTTCTTCATCTAGTATATTGTCTTAGAAATGTGACATGGTTTTGACAGGAATGGTTAATTTTTACAAATTCCAAAACCAGGTTACTACGAGGAACAAATTCAGAGACAAATCACTGCACATCTAAAGAATTTGAGTCATAACCAGTCCTACAATAAAAGGCAGACGAGAATGGTGTCTTAAATGACCATTTAAGGTTATATTTTAATGATGTTTTCTCTGGTTGCACCACACATAATAATAACAAAGTATTTAACCAGGAAAGGCACATTCAGATTACTCTGGTTTTCAAGTACGTCCTGGGGATGTTACCTTAGCCCAACATCCTGGGGTTGTTACTATCACCCAATGTAATGGCACTCATTTTATCTATCTTGGAAGGACGAAGGGCTGAGTCAACCCTGCCGTGATTCAAACCCAAGGGTTGAACAGATTCTACTGACGATGCATTAGCCACTGAGCTATCTCACCAGCATATTTATGTTTTACTTTGATTGTTCATTTTTTTGTTGTGTCTTTAAGTGGAAGGTCCATGTATATTTCACCACATAAACCATTAAAATTGGTTTGACTTAGAAGCACTGTTTTGTTTGATTACTTTGTGATTTTTATCTTTCTCTTTAAATGGTTATTCCAGCCAAAAAGAAAAAAAACTGGTTTTGGTTAGAGTAACCCTTTCTATCCCCCCTCCACCCCCCCAAATAGTAAAAGAAGAAATTAGCTCAAATTCACCTCTGTTCCAGCACCAAGACCACGTTTTTTCACAGTCTGATTCTTCATTGCTGACGTCATTCCACCTCGCTTGAGCGGAGCAGATGCCAGAGAGGGAGGGCTGAGTGGTGGACATGAGTGGACGGGAGGCTGTGTTTTTGTAATCGAAGATGTGTAATAAAGCAATAATGTAAATAATAAATAGTAATAATGTGAATCAAAGAAAAATAAGCAACAAACTTACATCCAGCACTTTTCATAAGCTATGGGTATGTGCCAGAATGTTGTCGTTAACCCTTTCACAGATAAAAGGACTGTCAGTGAATGGGTTCCAGAAATGAGGGTAAGAAATTTAAAGAAATAATCAAAAAAATCCAGAAATGGGGAAAGACATGGAATCAATGCACAAATATTGGGTAAAAAAAAGGACTCCTATAGGAAAAAAACAGTGTGTAAAAATATTGAGTAGGGTGCACAAATGGGAAAAAGTGGATACATTTTTTTTAAAAATGATTCAATTTGAACTAAACTTTTACTTTTTGATGGAGTCAAAGATAAGAAACATTGAGGCGTGGTTCCGGCTCTAGCCAAGATGGCTGCGTGAGGAGAGAGCTCCGCTCCACCGGACCCCAATTGCACGGAATAAGCGCAGACTGGCAAGCTTAATGGGGCGCACTAAACGCCCGGAGCATACCCAGACCCCTAAGAACCCACAACAGAGACCGCTGGACAACTTTTTACAGCCGCAATCCGGAACGAGCGGAGGATCCACCAGCCCCAAAATGGCGGCGTCCCCCGCACCGGAACAGGAGATACCGGCTTTGAGCCGCATTGAAAGTTCCCTGCGCGACCTAACTGCATCAGCGGTGACAAAATCTGATCTCCAGGCCTTTACCACCGCAATTCAGGAAACCATGCGCACCGAGATAGCGGGGATCCGCACTGAACTCACCTTGCAGGCGGGCCGCATCACCGTGGTGGAGGAGACGAGCGAGGCCCTTACAGCCCGCGTGGCAGCCACTGATACGGCTGTGGCATGCCAGGGCGAGATGCTACTCTCCATGCGCCGACATCTAGAGGACATGGACAATAGGGGTAGAAGATGCAACATACGCGTCCGCGGAGTGCCAGAGATCGAGGGACCGGAGGACGCGGTGGCGACACTCACTGAACTCTTCTGCTCCCTCCTACAGCCATCCCCGCCGACGGAGATAGAGTTTGAGAGGGCGCACAGGGCCCTGCGACCCCGCACGGCAGAAGAAGGCCCGCGAGATTTAATCTGCTGTCTGCACTCATTCCCGGTGAAGAACACCATAATGATGAAAGCCCGGGAGCAGCAGACCTGGCCCTTCAGAGGGGCTCACGTCTCCCTTTACAATGATTTCTCCCCCATGACGCTGGAGGCCAGACGGGCCCTACGCCCGGTCACAACCATACTAAGAGACCATAACATATCCTACAAATGGGGATTCCCCTTTGCTTTGCAAGCCAGACACCAAAATCGATGGCTCACCATGAGATGGCCTGAAGAGGTACCGCGCTTTATGGGAGAAATGGGCCTTCCCTCACCACCGGTTCCTGACTGGATACTGGGGTCATTGAACCCGCAACCAAGGCCGCAGAGGGGACCTAGACAACGAGGTATGAGAGCACCCCCTGTTCAGCGCGCTGGAGGCCGAGGGGACCCGACATCCCCAGAGGAATAAAGTCAGCCACCCACCTGTATCCATAAGCCACCACGCACCACTCCAGCGCAGCTCGACCTTGCCAGCTCCCTCTATCATCTACCACCACGACTAGCCAGGGCTGGACTGACCCTTACTGCTGATGCCTGCTGCCCGCTACTGTTTCCCGGAACCTAAGAGGAGCAGGTTTGACGTATGGCTCCACTCTCAGGTACTCTGAGTTAAAGTTCTGGGGCTTGGGAGGGGGGGGGCATGGGCATGGAAACACGGGCGGGAGGCCTGATCGCCCCTGAGGCACGAGCAAGGGACTTACAACTACAATTGCATTGATCATTCCTAATTATTTTGCTCTGGATATATTACAAGTTGGAACGGATTGGTCTTGCCTTGGGGCGGGGGATTTGGGGGGGCCGCGGATGGGGTGCACTCATGGCCCTGTTGGTGACTGTTACTTAGCATTTAGCCCTGGTCACAGCTACCTGAAGGTGGACGCCTCTTTATGGAAGAGGATCTTACTTTGGCCTGAACAAGCTTAGAAATATTGGCTTCCACTCGTGGAGGGGGACCAGGGGGGAGGGAGGGTTGGGGCGGGGGAGGATACCATTAAGTGCCTTGATGTATATTATTATACCCAGACAATGACCTCCATATGCCCCTCTTTTACGCCCAATCAGCTGCACATAGGTCACTACAGGCGGACACACAAGGTCACCGCTTGTTTGAGAACCCAATTCACTCCCACCATGTCCCCGACCCCTTGCAAAGCCTGAATGGGCACGCACATAGCCGCTTGCTATACACTGGGCTGACTGGCCAACAATTGCATACACACACGCTCGTTGACGGGGCACACTCGGGGGATGTACCGCTACAAATAATGCGCAACCTGTCATGGCAATAGGTGTGGGAGCTACCTAAGCAATTCCAAAATGGTTCCTGGGTATACACGCGGGTCGCAACACCGCCTATACACTTATTGTCACTATTGTCTAGGGACACACTGGACAGGCAGGTTATCCCGGGGCGACGGGGACGGGTGGACATAGATAGATTGTAGCTTCTTAGATTGTAGCATAGGGGGAATGACGGGACGCACAGGAATATGGACCACTGATGTGGGCTTCATATACGTATTTATAGTGTTTGATGTTAATAATTATATGCTTCTACTGTGATTGCGCACTGTTTGCATGATGCTTAATTCTTAACTGGGGGGTTCTGGCAGAGCGGAAAACCTCATATCTGACCCATCGACTCTCTGATACCTTACTTGGCTGGGGCTCGAGCAGCGTTCTCTACCACACATACTCTGGCTAGTTGGCTGGTGGCCAGACGGCGGAATTCTAGACTCCAGGGCTGGTCCCGGAGCTAATTCCAACGGACACTGGTCACCGCCCGAGTCCCCCTCACCCTGTAGAGGGGTCTTACAACCGGGACCCTACCGGTATCTGGGGAGTTACCTACACACGGGGTACACAGCTACCTATACACGCGCACGACACCTCTGGCCCCGACCCTCCTGTTCCGAGCTCGGATCACCCACTGCTGACATCTGCAGTTGCCCTTTCCCCTCTTACCCTCTCCCTCCCCCCACCCACCTCTTCCCCTCTCTACTATAGCGCTTTGGCCTGCCTGCGCACCGGGCCCGTGGTCCTTCCTGACACTCAGGACTACTGGTGGTATCCCCGGACCTTGCACCAGTTGAAAGCCTCCACCATCTCGTATAGTAAGTATGGCTTACTAAAGCACACCCCTGCGGTTCCTTACTCAGAATTGCAGAGGGCTCAACATCCCCGAACGACGGACGCACCTGCTGCGCGAATTAAGGAAAAAACGCGTTATGATGGCTATGCTTCAAGAAACGCACTTTAAGGAGGGGTCAACCCCTAGACTACGGAATAGGCACTTCCCTAATAATTACTTCTGCAACCACCCGACTGCGCATAAATCTGGAGTAGCTACATTATTGGCTGCGGAGCTGGAGTTTAAAGAATTGGAACGTGTACAGGACTCGCAGGGAAGGTATCTCTTCCTTAAAGGCACCATAGCGGACAAGATATACACGATAGCGAATATATATGTCCCCAATAAGAGGCAGGCCCCATTCATTCGCAATACCCTGCTCCAACTGGAAAACTTCACAGATGGGATACTAGTGGTAGGGGGCGATTTTAATGCCCTACTCGACCCAACACTGAACTCTTCCACAGGTCATAGCTGCCTACCACAACGCAGCATTAGATCCATCCGACAGTCGTTTGAAGCCCTGAGACTGGTGGACTGTTGGAGGACCCTTCATCCCTCGGCAAAAGATTTCACCTACTACTCGGCTCTCCATAACCGTTACTCACGTATAGACTATATCCTTATTGCACAAGAAGGCCTTTCTCACCTATGCAGCGCCAAAATTGAGACAGCCACTTGGTCGGACCATGGCTCGGTCGAGATAGAACTGAATTCACCCCTATACAGGCCGAAGAACTGGACCTGGAGACTTAATCCAACTCTGCTGCTTGACCTGGACACCAAGACGCAGATCCAGCAAGCCTTAGAACAATACTTCAGAGAAAATGACACCCCAGAGTCCTCCCCAATCACCATCTGGGAGGCTCACAAAAGTGTGATTCGGGGCACACTCATACGCATTGCTTCCCAGAAGCGTAAGGCTTTCATGCATGACATGGCCGAATTGTATAGAACCATCTCGAATCTGGAACGCCAACATAAACGCTCTCAGCTAAACGCGATATACAGAGAATTAATGGAACAGAGGAGGAAACTTACAGACCTTATTTTGAAAAGACATCTCCGCTCGGTACAACGCACGAAGGGCTTTTACTATGCACACGCCAATAAAGGGGGCAAGTATCTGGCAAGACTACTAAAAGGCCCCCAACCCCATCGGCAAATACATAAGATTCGTCTGACCTCGGGGGAGATCTCCCCGTTCCCGCAGAAAATTGCGGAGGAGTTTCGGTTGTTTTACGAAAGATAAGAAACATAATGCCAATGGTAATTTTATAAAACCAACAGCAACAAGCTACCTAATAGAAATTCACCTTCGAAGAGAAGTAATTAGAAATGCTAGTAAAAGTTATTTGTTACAGATTATCTTGCGGAGTGATACAGTTAAGAAATTACCTGCAGAACTCCTCATCACTTACAACCTTCCTCTGTCATCTCCCGTCTACTGTGCTCCCTCCCCCAAACACCCCCCTCCCCATCCCTCAGGTATATACAGATTACTTAATTCAACCAGATCACTTTAGATTGCAAGCTCTTTGGGCATGGTCCTCTTCACTTATTGTTCCACTACGTCAATCATGTTTTGTTAGAATTAAGTGTTTGTAGTGCTCACCTATTGTAGAGCACCAAGGTATATGTAACTTTAATTACACATTTTTTCTGACAGTGGAACAAATCAAGTGGTACAAATAAGGAGGTTTCTGCAAAGACAATACGTTTTTCTAAGCTTTTTATTCCACGTTATTTTCAAGTCACCTGGAAGCTGAAATGCAAATAAACAAAAGTAGTCAGTAAAAGGCCTTCTGTTTTTGTTCAGAACCAGCCCACATGTACTTTATGTGCTTTTTTACAGTTTATAAAAACTAAAAAATTAGTTTGTGAAGGCGCAGTAAGACTAGTTAATGCACTTAGTTCACAATTTTTTATTTTTTTTAAACACCCCCTACTGGTTGAAAATGGTGTGGTTGTATAGATTGTATAGCTTTCTTGTCAACTGTTTGTTTAACGTTCTTTACATACACTGAGTTTGGGGAAGAGAGGTCCATTATGGAACAGACAGCATCTCTATAATGAACAGTCCAACAAAAGAATAAAATAAAATGTCGGCCAATCAAAATACTTGTTAAAAATGGCAGATCACACTTGTGGACAACCGAAATATGTTCAAGAAAAGTTGTCATTTAGAGTAAGTAGATTAACTAGGCAGTTGCAGTTATGTCATTTCCAAATTTGTTATGACTGTACACCACTATAATAAAACACAATAGAACACTATAATATAGCTTCTCATAGGTGATCAGGAATGGAGGCCCACACCATACAAGTACTAGGTGTAGGATGCAAAGTGTGGCAGGTTAGTTCTTGGGGTGGGCATAAAAAGACTAAGATCCCCCAATCGTGATGGTGTATTATTTAAACTCACATGTATTTTTTTTTTAAATTCTTTATTTATGATGGACATTCAGAAAGTATAATGGTAAAAACATGACGACATTTGATAAAATATAGCACATTATAACACTATTACAAAGAACTGTTCTGTAGAAGTGGTAGTGGCCAAGGTTCGAAGAACTCCCAACTCTTGTCTGTTGGAGGGCTGTATTATTTGACTTTTGCTGTTGCGACGGAATGTCAACCTTTTATAAGAACATAAAATGTAACAGAAGTAGAGGAAAGAGCTATAATAAAAGATTGTGAGGAAGATAGATAGCTCTATAAAATTAGGCAGAGAGAGGTTAAGTAAGTTATACAAGCTTCCAAGTCACACACAGAAGAGAAAATAGCCCAAGTTAGTAAAAAAGGGGGACAAAACATTTTTCAGATACATAAATGAGAAATGGAAAGTAAAACAAGGGTTAGTTAGATTAAAAACAAAAGAAGGAAGGTATGTAGAAGAGGATAAAGGTCTAGCTGACTGCCTTAATGAATATTTTTGTTCAGAATTTACAGATCTTGTGTATTGTATAATTTGGCCCCCAGTAGCACCCCATTCATGCATGTTCAAGTGAGTTCAGCCTCCCCCCCTGTTTCATATATATATATATATATTTATTTTTTTTTATATATATTTGGGAGTCTAGCCAACTCCTTGGTTTTGCACCCCTCCCTGTCACAGGTGCCTCATCCCAGGTCCCTATTTAGCCTTGTACTGCAGAGAGCCCCAGATGGAATTTTTCCCCAAGTAAGTGGGTTAATCTTGTAAGAGCAGACATTAGGCTGTTAGAGTAGGACCTGCTAAAGATGGGGTACATTGACGTTGTGGCAGGCTTATGCAATGTATGATCATATAATGTAACTAAACCCCCATTATTTTTGCCTAGATTAGGTGTTTTAAAAACAAACAAACAAAAAAATAACTAATGCAACACTGAACTTTCCTCATAGAGATGCATTTATTTAATGAGGAGATGTTGATTGGGCAGGGCTGTGTTTGAATTGTGCTGGCTCTGCCCCTGATCTGCCTCCTTGTCAGTTTTAGCCAATCCTATGGGGAAGCATTGTGATTGGATCAGGCTACCACTTCTGCTTATGTCAGCAGGCAATGGGCAGGTCTAAAGGAAACAGTGACAAAGTAAGCAGCTGCAGACTTGAATACAAGTAAGATATTACTATATTTAGGGAGGCATGAGGGGGCCAGGGGGACTCGATGGTGCTTTTAACCCTATATGGTCAGGAATTCATGTTTGTGTTTCTGACCCTATAGTGCTCATTTAATCAAAGTACCTTAATAATTAAAATTAGAATCTCCAAAGTGGTTTAACTGAGTCAACTGTTCACTTATTATTATGGTTATCATTTTGGTAATTGCATATTTTAACATTTTACTGGCATCGGTATTTAGCTAAACAAAACAAGGCCAATCCAAATTGTCATATTATTGCAAATATGGGAAAACAGTTGTGAAAATATTTTAATTTGACATGACTTGGGATCAAAGTTAGTTCAGAACTTATTGCCCCATTGAAAATTTATAATCTAAACAATAATGAAAGTATTGCAGGATTAACAATATTTTCTATGACAATCATCCACATACCAATGAGGTTGAATGCAGCTTTTATAGTAAATCAATAGACTGAGACATTTTTATCAGTGCCGTTTTGGAAATACAGTTCAGACGTATGAGAAGAGTAATTTAACCCCTTAATGACACATGATGGAAATATTCCGTCATGATTCCCTTTTATTCCAGAACTTGTGTCCTTAAGGGGTTAATAATAAAAAATGAATCACTTGACAGATGGCAATTCACTGGTTCAGATAGATTAAATTGAGCACACACAACAGGAGGAAAAATGAAAAAAATAAAGCTACAAACTATTAAATGCTATGCTTCGAGATGAAGGATTTTGAAAGCAATTAAAATTAAAATAATAAAATAAATCAACCAATACCCAATGTTTCTAGATAAATAAGAAGACTAAGTAAATATATCTATGTATTCAGTGGTATAAGAAGTTTATAATTTTGATAAAGAGAAAATCCATCATTAACAGTTAAATGGATTTGTAATATAAAGATCATTTGGTTCTAGACTTAGCTAATCGGATCTATTTTGATATGATACTGGATATTGATGTGTAATAAAATATGTAACATAAGCTGGAACTGATAAAAAAATATTGAACATTTAAAAGGACACTATAGGGGGCGGAGCCTGACCTCCGATCTAACCACATTGTGAATGCCAGATTTCCTGAATCTCATGTTGATTTTGGGGTATACTACCTGATTTTGGGGCTGCCACGCCAAATATGCTATATACTTATGGTCAGGAGACCCCGGACTAGCTGATCGCTAACTTATCCAAGCGTTATCCTACACAGTGAGGCCGGGAGCTCTGCTGCGGCCTACTGAGGAAGGGGCTGAGGAGGATCGGACGATCCCTTCGTGCTTCAACCCAGGGCTGGTGCCAGCAGCACTCCAACCCCCCCACCCCCACACACCTGGACTGGGGGGTCATTCCGGTTCCCTCAGAGCAAACCTGAGCAGCTGTAACCACACTTACCATGTTGACAGGGGTGATGTGCAGAAACCCCCGACTTCACAAAATGGCGGATGCCTTTCACTTGGAGACCCACACTGAGAGCACAAAGCAGAGACCCTCCTAATACCATATTGCAGATTTCTTGCAGAGGTTGGATGCAATCTTCCAATGCTTCTGGCTTACAATAAAACACCGTGTTCAAGCTGCCGAGGTCCTTATACGCAAGAAAGATGGGAGAATCAAGAGCCAGGAAGTATAGGAGCCTACTCAGGGCGAAACCTGCACGACCTACCACACGCTCTCCGAAGCCGAGAGCCGCAAGGGGCTTACCTGCCTCGCATGACCACGAGGAAGGAAGATTACCCGCGACAAGCGGAGAACACCATCACAATCCTCCAACCTCCACAGGGGATAGACTTGGACTGCTGTAGTACCCAAGTCTGTGGTACAGGGATGCTGACACTCACACGGGCATGGGCCTGGAGGGATCCCCAATCTGGTAGAGACGTCTCGGAGGATGGCAAAGTCACACAACTGCAGATGGGAGTGGGCTAATTCCGACAGGAATCTCCTGCATGGGCCTTTTGCCACTTGCTAATAGCAGTAGTGATGTGAATTATTGCATATTTCAAACACCTAGTGATTTGTTTTAAGTGAGTTCCTCATTAGTATATTTATTTTCATTTTTAGACATCACGCTGCCTTATAATGTAATAGCATTGTGCTATGTAGCCTATCCCCTTGCCTGAGGTTATATCGAGTGTAAACTGTCAAATGTCTTAGCATTACATTGCTATTTGAGCCTTTAAATCTTGTCATGAGCTTAGACATGAATGCATAGCTTACTAACTACCTTATTTACAAAAATGTGTACGTTCTTTGCTGTATCCAACTGTTATAAATGTTAAAAAGCTTGTGGAATGCTGTTGGAGCACCTCAAGCCTGCTTGTAAACGTTTGCACTGTAAAAACATAAAATATATATATATTATTATTTTTTTTTAAAGGACACTATAGGCAAACAGTACACTTCAGCTCATGGAAGTGATCTGGGTGCAATGTCCTTGTCCCCCTCAGCCCTGCAATGTAAAACACTTCAGTTTTAGATTAACTGTAATAATTACCTTGCAGGACTAAGACTGCCTCTAGTGGCTGTCAACCAGGTGATTCCTGCTTGTCAGATGATTTTTGGTTGCCTATGTGACGCTGGACGTTCTCAAGCTCTGCATGAGGATGTCCATCATCAAGCAATACCCCATGCTTTCCTTTGGGGAGGGCCCTAATGCACTTGTGACACTGCTCATGTCATGGATGGACTATCTCTGAAGGAAGTCTTTGGAAGACGAAAAACATTGGATTTCTTTTAAAGGGACACTATAGTCACCTGAACAACTTTATCTTAATGAAGCAGTTTTGGTGTATAGAACATGCCCCTGCAGCCTCACTGCTCAATTTTCTGCCATTTAGGAGTTCAATCCCTTTGTTTATGAACCCTAGTCACACCTCCCTGCATGTGACTTACCCAGACTTCCTAAACACTTCCTGTAAAGAGTCATCTAAAGTGTATCCTTTCTTTATTGAAAGTTCTGTTTAATTAAGATTTTCTTATCCCCTGCTATGTTAATAGTTTGCTAGACCCTGCAAGAGCCTCCTGTATGTGATTAAAGTTCAATTTACAGAGATTGAGATACAATTATTTAAGGTAAATTACATCCGATTGAAAGTGAAACCAGTTATTTTTCATGCAGGCTGTGTCAATCATAGCCAGGGGAGGTGTGACAAGGGCTGCATAAACAGAACCAAAGTGATTGAACTCCTAAATGGCAGTGAATTGAGCAGTAAAACATGAGAGGCATGATCTATACAATAAAACGGCTTCATTAAGCTAAAGTTGTTTAGGTGACTATAGTGTTCCTTTAATATTTGTTGTATTGTATTTTCTGGCTGCTATTATTGATCTTGTTGGGTTCCATGAGGCAAAGATTACTTGTTTCATCTACCTGTGGATCACTACTAGTGGTGAGATGCCTGATTTTATCTACATCCTGCTCATTGATGTATTAAAATTACCTTTTAAAAACAATATTGCACTATTTTGTTGTTTTATATCTCTATATTTTAAGGGAAACATAGAAAATCACCGTTGCCCGTCATACCCCAGTTGGGGAGAAAAGCCTTATCATCCAATCTGTTAGTGATACACCTTTATCCTTTCCTACTATGGTTTATACAATATTACCCTATGTGTAGTTTTCTTTCAAAATTTTCAGAGACTTCTTATCCCATGGCAACAAATAAGAAGGCTCCTATTCCTTTTTTTTTTTTATCAGTTATTGGTGACATTAATATTAACCCCTTAAGGACGGAGCCAAATGTACACGTTGTGAACAAAACAAAATGTAAACAAAACCTGGCATTTGCGCTACATGTCTGTCCAACTGTAATACACCTCTTTCATATTAAATACACCCACCCTTATTATATATCATTTTATTCAGGGGAAACAGGGCTTTCATATTTAGCTATGAAACATAATTTAATATGAAAAAAATGGGAGAAAATAAGATTTTTTTGATTTTTTAGTTCTACATGACATTTTAACTGTCAATATCATAATACTGTTTGCTTTTACTGCAATAAAATACACATATTTGTATTCAGCAAAGTCTCACGTGTAAGACAGTACCCCCTATATACAGGTGTTATGGCGTTTTGGGAAGTTACAGGGTCAAATATAACACGTTACATTTGAAATAGAAATTCGCCAGATTGGTTACGTTGCCTTTGAGACTGTATAGTAGCCCAGGAATGAAATTTACACCCATAATGGCATACCATTTGCAATTTTTCACACTTTTAAATTTTATTTTATTTTATTTCTAGCCAGCAGGGGGACTACCTGTCATTACTGGCAGTCCCCCTGCTGGCAATACAGCAGCCAGCTATCCCGGCCATGTGATTGTGAGGTCCTCGCAAGGCGCCCTGGGAGTCCCCCCAACCGCGATTGCCGGCGTGGGATCACCTGCAACCGGGTAAGTAAGAAAAAAACGGGGGGCGTACTATTACGCCCGGTGGCGTTTAGAGCCGCCTAAAATATGGCGTAATAGTACGCCCTCCGGTCTTAAGGGGTTAAGTAATTATTTACATGCATACTTGGGGCTGGTGTTCTTTAGCATTTATAGCCCTGTTTTTTACTTTTTCACTTTTTGTATTGGGTCTTATTTGTGAGGTAGCACAGGAGATGTTTTTTGTTTCTTTTTGTATGATATTATTACTCTTTGATGACTTATCTTATATAGTAGTTTTCTCCCCCCTGCTTTTAGAAACATCTATAAGCTTAGTAGACTTGTGTACAGCGCAAAATTTTATTTCGGCCAAAACATTTTTTTTGAACATAAAAACATTTCAGGACGGACACATTTTTGCCAGATGTTGGTTTCTGCACTGCAGTATTTCAATATTAAAAAGCTCATTCAGGAAACAATTGAGACGAACTAAAAGGATGCAAAAATGGTCCAATCAGTGTACTGCCCATAAGAGAAATATAAATATTATGTCTATATTTTGCACTACACCGATAAGAGCATATTCTCACCATTTCGTTCACAATTCAAGTGAAAATAATCTTTGTTTATACATTGTATATTTATTAAATATACAAACATATATAGATTTTTTTTTTTACTGCTTCACTTTTTTTTTAATCAATTGGTCACTTCTCATTTGACCTGTGAATAAAATGATTTATTGACTGTCCCCTAGCCGACAATCATCTCTTTATTTTTGGTTCCACTGGTGTGCTTCAGAATCACGAATCAAAATGAACATACTCAGCCTTTTAGTGTATTGGCTGATTTGCCGTTCGGCTACACAGTCACCTGATTGACCCAAATTCGTATAAATTGCAGTTCGTAACGATTCGAATCTCCAAGTCTAAAGCCTGGTTAATTTTCTAAAGTTGTACAGTGCAAAAATAAGTAGTACAATTAAATTCAGCACCTGCATACAGTTTACAAAACAGTACTGCACACAGTACAAATATGTCTGGATTCTCCTAGATAACCCTTTTCATATTATGTTAGATTTCTAAATCTTCCATGTGAACATATAAACGTGCTGAATTTGACCTTGGGAAGGTGAATTTGAAAAGCATCCCACAGATGAGAAACATAGAAAAAGGCATGGTATGTTAATAAATAAGCTAGCTGGCATGAGGTCTTGGTCATAGAACTTCAGAGATATTTCAGTATTATGCATGGCTAACGGTTCTATTTTGGAAAATAGGATTACTGGAGACCTTGAGAACAAACAACATGCCTTCAGACATATTTATCTTGAGTATTATGGGACTAGGTCATAAAACCTACTGACTTCATTAAAATTAATTTAAACCTTTTGCTTTTTGTGCTAGCATGGATCAAATCACAGGCTTATATAACTGCATGTCAACTTTCTAATTATATAGCTATGATCACTTGTTTCAAAGCAGGAACGGATAACTCAAATTAGTTCACTGTGTAACATTTATAAAAAGTCTGTGGCCAGATATAGATCGAGCATTGGTTGCAATTAGATCTCATTTTATGGTCCTTATGATTTAATTTCCATGTTTGTCGGTTCCCTTTTTGTTACTACAATCTGGATTTTTAAACAGATGTACTTATTTTAAGGACACAGCTTCAAAAAGAAAAGGCAATCACAGCGGAAAATTTCCATCATGTGTCCTTTAGGGTTTAACCCCTTAAGGACCAAACTTTTGGAATAAAAGGGAATCATGACATGTCACACATGTCATGTGTCCTTAAGGGGTTAAAGGGAACGGTCACTTCCTAGGATTTTTAATATTATGTTTACAGGGAGTGCAGAATTATTAGGCAAATTAGTATTTTGACCACATCATCCTCTTTATGCATGTTGTCTTACTCCAAGCTGTATAGGCTCGAAAGCCTACTACCAATTAAGCATATTAGGTGATGTGCATCTCTGTAATGAGAAGGGGTGTGGTCTAATGACATCAACACCCTATATCAGGTGTGCATAATTATTAGGCAACTTCCTTTCCTTTGGCAAAATGAGTCAAAAGAAGGACTTGACAGGCTCAGAAAAGTCAAAAATAGTGAGATATCTTGCAGAGGGATGCAGCACTCTTAAAATTGCAAAGCTTCTGAAGCGTGATCATCGAACAATCAAGCGTTTCATTCAAAATAGTCAACAGGGTCGCAAGAAGCGTGTGGAAAAACCAAGGCGCAAAATAACTGCCCATGAACTGAGAAAAGTCAAGCGTGCAGCTGCCACGATGCCACTTGCCACCAGTTTGGCCATATTTCAGAGCTGCAACATCACTGGAGTGCCCAAAAGCACAAGGTGTGCAATACTCAGAGACATGGCCAAGGTAAGAAAGGCTGAAAGACGACCACCACTGAACAAGACACACAAGCTGAAACGCCAAGACTGGGCCAAGAAATATCTCAAGACTGATTTTTCTAAGGTTTTATGGACTGATGAAATGAGAGTGAGTCTTGATGGGCCAGATGGATGGGCCCGTGGCTGGATTGGTAAAGGGCAGAGAGCTCCAGTCCGACTCAGACGCCAGCAAGGTGGAGGTGGAGTACTGGTTTGGGCTGGTATCATCAAAGATGAGCTTGTGGGGCCTTTTCGGGTTGAGGATGGAGTCAAGCTCAACTCCCAGTCCTACTGCCAGTTCCTGGAAGACACCTTCTTCAAGCAGTGGTACAGGAAGAAGTCTGCATCCTTCAAGAAAAACATGATTTTCATGCAGGACAATGCTCCATCACACGCGTCCAAGTACTCCACAGCGTGGCTGGCAAGAAAGGGTATAAAAGAAGAAAATCTAATGACATGGCCTCCTTGTTCACCTGATCTGAACCCCATTGAGAACCTGTGGTCCATCATCAAATGTGAGATTTACAAGGAGGGAAAACAGTACACCTCTCTGAACAGTGTCTGGGAGGCTGTGGTTGCTGCTGCACGCAATGTTGATGGTGAACAGATCAAAACACTGACAGAATCCATGGATGGCAGGCTTTTGAGTGTCCTTGCAAAGAAAGGTGGCTATATTGGTCACTGATTTGTTTTTGTTTTGTTTTTGAATGTCAGAAATGTATATTTGTGAATGTTGAGATGTTATATTGGTTTCACTGGTAATAATAAATAATTGAAATGGGTATATATTTGTTTTTTGTTAAGTTGCCTAATAATTATGCACAGTAATAGTCACCTGCACACACAGATATCCCCCTAACATAGCTATAACTAAAAACAAACTAAAAACTACTTCCAAAAATATTCAGCTTTGATATTAATGAGTTTTTGGGTTCATTGAGAACATGGTTGTTGTTCAATAATAAAATTAATCCTCAAAAATACAACTTGCCTAATAATTCTGCACTCCCTGTATATATATATATATATATATATACACACACATATATTTATGAAAATATCTGTTTGTGAAGTCTAAAAAACTAAATTAAATATACAGATTGACAACTCTTTATAGTGCAACTGGATCCCTCTATTTTAATTCCCTGTCAAACAGTATTAAATATCTCTTTGACAATGTTTAATGGACATTGTTTGACCTGGATTTGACTTATCTCAATTGGATGCTGATGTCATATTCAATTTTTTTAACAGAGCTCTTGTGAAAAAAAGGGTAACAAAGATATCAATTATGTTAAGTTTATTTAATGGGGGAGTGGAGCTTGCGCCCAATGGAATCAGTTGCATGCTTGCAGCTCTACCGGTTTTGGAGCGCAAAATGCTGATAATTACAGCACTTCAAAGACCTACGGAAATCTGCTGAGACTCTATTTTTTTTCTTTTTGTACCGTAAATATCGTTGCCTTAATAAAATAAAGATTGACAAAAAAAAAATAGAAGTTTATTCAATAGTGTAAAATCCAGAGATATGACAAGCACTACATGGTTCCTGAATAAAATGTCTTCCAAATATGTGTTTACTGTGCCCTATTGAGTGAAGTCATGGTATCCAAGTAATTTAATCCTTAAAGTCACCAAAACAACTGTAGCTTATTGAAGCAGTTTTGGTGTATATATCATTTCCCTGCAGTGTCACTGCTCAATTCTCTGCCATTTAGGAGTTAAATTACTTTATTTATGCACCCTAGACACACCTCCCTGCATGTGACTTGCACAGCCTTCCTAAACACTTCCTGTAAAGAGTCAGCTAATGTTTATACTTCCTTCATTGCAAATTCTATTTCATTTAAAATGTATTATCCACTGCACTGTTGATAGCTTGCTAGACCCCACAGAAGCATTCTGTGTACGATTAAAGTTCACTTTAGAGAGCAGGCAATAAGAAATTTTAAAGCAAGTTACATCTAATTGAAAGTTAAACCATTTTTTTCATGCATGGTGTGTGAGTCACAGTCAGGGGAGGGGTGACTAGGGCTGCATGGACAGAAACAAAAGGGATTTAACTCCTAAATTACAGAGATTTGAGCAGTGAGACTACAGGATAATGATCTATACACTAAAACTGCTTCCTTAAGCTAAAGTTGTTTTGGTGTCCCTTTAATTTTTTTCTTCTAATCAAGACTAAACTTTGCTCTGTGGTTTCCCCATCATTGAGTCGCCCTTTTCTGTTACAGCACGTGTGTAACAATCTTTCTTTGAAGCTTTGGCCGTAGTGTTCTCCAAATGATTTGTCCATTTATTCTCCAAACTCGCTTGGCTTCTGACTTCTGGCTTTTGTATCCTAAATACACTTACAGGTCACTCCTTTCATCTCAGTTTATCATTTTCTTCTGACCTCTGTTCTTGTCTCAGCTACCCTAGATGGCTCTAAATCAGTTATATTGATGGTAAACTCCCACACTCTCTTCTCCTGCTCCTCTCTTTACCTTCTGGACTCATACTTACCAGGCTTCAATTCTGTCCCCATCTGTAATTCCATTTAATGCAGCTCATTACCAAGTCTTCATTTTGGAACTCCTGAAATCCGCTGTTCTGCCCCCACCTGACCTCCTATCTCTCCTAAGGCTGATATACACTATTTATATCTGATCAGTATAACTAAATGATGATTTGGTGGAAGGTGTGCCTGCTATTACAAACTATCCTAGTACGATTTATTGTATATATTGTATGTATAATCCACCGTATATATTGAAAGCAGTGGTTATTCAGCTGTTCAATTAACCATTTATTTTGCAAACCTTTACCAAAAGCTCCTTTGTTTAAGGGTTTATATGTCACTGTCTATCTCAATTATTAAAAAATAAAGTAATTTCATTTACTAGTCAATTATTGTGTCCTTCAATCAAAGATGACACAATAACAGTCAAAGAAAAGTTAAAGACGGAGTGGTGTGAATTTTGCACTTTGAATGAAGCACTGGAAAAATACACATGTACTGTGGTTTGAACATAATTTTTTTACCTTGTAAAAGCATTTGACCGGACAGCTGGTCAAGTTATAGTTATGTAGAACTACTTTTTTCAGTTATAATATAGAAATACCCATTTCCCAGTAACCGGACAACACACAGTCCTAAGGGGGTACAACAAAACTTTATTGGCCACACTTGGCTTTATACTTTCCCCATGCAAGGGGTGGATCATATATAATGACAATGTCTCCTCCCAGGGTTCTCCCCCTCCCACGGGTCCCATAATGGAACCGGAACCCCAATCCCTTTGCCCCCTGTTCTCTCCCAGGGTCCTCCCCCTCCCGGGGGTCTCATGACAGAAACTAATTTCCAGTCCCTTTGTCCCCTGTTCCTGCCACCCATCCTCAGGGTTTCCTACCTCCAGTGACCAGTGGGTCTTCATCCCATGAGCATCTGTACCTGGGTGTCCCAGCGCGGGAAAGCTTCCCGCCTCTGTGACTCCCAGCCACAGAAAGCCTGCCAAACCGCCATTGTCCTCAAAGAGTGTCCCCACCAATCTCAGGGACCCCCCTGAATGGCAACCGCCATGAACCGCCTTCGTTCGCAGGGTCCCTGCGTGAAACCAAGCAAGGGAAGCGTCTCTATTCGGGACACGAAGGTTCCCCCGGGCCGCCACCCATCTATCCGAACGGCGGCCACCCAGGGGAACACTAGTTTATTACTTCCCTTGCAGGGAGGTCCTCGTTCAGGAACCGAATGAGGTGGGAAGCAATCCACGAATGCTCCCCCTGGACAGCGTTTGTATAACAAATGGGCCGCCACCCAGGGGAGGCACGCGCCGAGGCTTCCCTTGGGGTTTGTGGTTTTGACCCCTCATTACGAGGTGCGAACGTTCTGAACCAACATCCTAAATTAATTGTGGGGTGGTCCCCATTCGGGAGGGTAATGCATTCCCTTCGTGTAGGACCTCCACACTTACTGACAAACACAGATATACTATCACTGACACACATATAAACTCACTGACAAACACGTATACACTCTTACTGACAAACACTTATACAAACTCACTGACAAACACATATACAGTCAGGTCCATAAATATTGGGACATCGACACAATTCTAATCTTTTTGGCTCTATACACAATGGATTTGAAATAAAATGAACAAGATGTGCTTTAACTGCAGACTTTCAGCTTTAATTTGAGGGTATTTACATCCAAATCAGGTGATGTCTATGCGTTCCAGACTTCAGGCTGCAATTGACTGCAAAGGATTTGCAACCATGTATTAAAATGTGAAAGTTTGATTTATGACTGTTAATCTGTCCCATTACTTTTGGTCCCTTGAAAAGTGGGAGGCACATATACAAACTGTTGTAATTCCTACACCGTTCACCTGATTTGGATGTAATTACTCTCAAATTAAAGCTGAAAGTCTGCAGTTAAAGCACATCTTCATTTCATTTCAAATCCATTGTGGTGTATAGAGCCAAAAAGATTAGAATTGTGTCGATGTCCCAATATTTATGGACTTGACTGTACACTCTTACAAACACACATACACTCTTACTGACAAACACACATACACACTCACTGACAATCACACGTACACACTCACTGACAAACACACATATACACTCTTACTGACAAACACAAATTCTTTGACACACAATAAGCTGTAGTTGTTCTGGTGACTATACGGTTACCTTAATTTAAATGTAATGATATTTTTATAATTGGAGACCCTTTGTAGCTCTTTTTATCCCTAAAGGGACTCTGATGAATTGATCCATTGTGAATTTAATATTTATATCTTTGTATTACTTATTTACCACGTTGCATTTCTAATTAATATTGAACACTACAGGCAGGGCCGTCTTTGATGCGGGGCAAACAGGGCAGCTGCCCTTGGCCCTTTTACTTCTAGTAAAGGGCAGCTGCCCTCGACAACTTTCTCCCACCCACTGGTTCATCCTGGGGATGCACACTAAGGAGGCCCACCGGGTGGCCCAAGCACTAAGGGCCACCCAGTGGGCATTTGTAAGCAGGGGCCCAGTCACGCCCTGTGGCCCTTTAACAGCATGACCGGGCCCCTTTGCTTTTTGGCAGCATGGGAGGAAGTGACTGCCATGAGTCACTTCCTCCCAGAGAGAGCCGCGTGGGAGAGACCACACCAGGGAAGCAGAGAGGAGGGGGGCTGGTCCGGATTGCCAGTTGGCAACCCCTAATAGCCTCAGCCATCCCTCTGGACACCAGGGAAGCAATCCTTCAAGGTAGGAAACGGGGAGTACATTTAAAAGTGTGAATGTGTCAGTATGTCTGTGTGTCTGTCAGTTTATGTCTGTGTGTCTCAGTAGGTGTGTCAGTATGTCTGTCTGTGTATATGTCTGTGTAAGTATGTATGTGAAAGGTGTGATTGCATGCCAGGGAGAGGGGCATGCCCAGGGGGCCCAAGAAAATGCTTTGCCCAGGGTACTAGTGACATTAAAGACAGCCCTGACTACAGTGAAAGTTCTTTCCCTTATTTTTTTTTCTCCCAATCTAGCACAAGATGACTTTATAGAGCCTAGGCACCTGGTAACAAGGCCTCCTGAATGTGCATATGTTGGACTACCTGCTACTTGCTATACATACATTATTCAGAGGATAACACCCTTATGTTATACAGTCTGTTTATTACAGCGGTCAGTCGATTTTTTTCTGGTGCACCTTTTAGCCCCATATATTATTTTTCTAAGGAGAACTAATCATAGTGTGCTAAAATGCAATGTCTTGCTTGCTATTTTTAACTACGTTCTGAATCTCCTTAATTTAAATGTAATGATGTTTTTCTTACTTGGAGACCCTTTGTAGCTCTTTTTAACCCTAAAGGGAAACACCTACAGGGCTCTGGTGAATTGCTCCTTTCGTGAAACTACTTATTTACCACACTGCATTTACAAATAATATTGGACACCACATGAAAAGTTCTTCCCCTTTGGTTCCCCTCCAACACCCCCTCCCCCATCTGGCACACGCTTTATTGCTTTTAAATACTATTTGTTGTAAATCCCTTTTTTTAGACCTGAGTTCTTCAATAACGTTTAATTTATATACCTTGTTCTTTTACACTGAGGGACCTACTTTGGTGTTATGTGCCTAAGTATATTAGATTCTAGTTATTACTATTTATGAGCATAGAAGCCCCAGGAAGTACTTGTTTGCTCTCATATAACCTCTCAGGATGAATGTAAGCGAAAAGGACCATGGAAGAGAAGCGAAGGAGAATATGAAGACAATACTCATTCCACACTTCAGCTAGTTAGTGCTATGTATATGAGGATTGAATATTTTAGGTTTATATTTTATGGTAAATACCTTAAAATATTTTGCTGTGTATGCAGATATGGTCTAAACAATCGACGACTGTGATTAGAGGGAAAAGCATTGATTACTATCCTAAAGCAATAATAGCTTTGAAACGGAGGGCTCTCCAGCTGTCTTAATTTAGGCAGCACTACCTACGATGACACTGAATGCTACGTAGTTCACTCAAGTATATACTAATACCAAGACGAGAGATGCATTTTAGCAATTGCAATCCACTTAGAAATAAACTAACATAAAGACAAACATTTTACAAAATCTCTAGCTATGTGTTTGCTTTATGAAAATTCTAACATTCTAATTGATAACAATATTTTAAAAGCAGAGGGAGTCAATTATATTTAAATACATTAAAGTCAATAGCAAAGTTGTGGGCTTTGGTGGATAGGAGTACAGCATTCTGACCAAGCAGCAGAATGACTTGGACAAGGCTTGTCAGACTTAATGGAACCTACTGAACTTCAAACCAACAGACACATCTATCTGTCAATTAGAGCAGTTCACAAGCAGAAAAACTACCAGGTGAATATGTCAGCAATAAGTATCACAGTTTCTACATTGCTGGGTAATTTGTAATAATCACGTATGCAGTTTACTTTCTTATAGTATCTTGCATGTCATGTGGACAACAATGATTGCACAGAGAAGAGATTGGGGGCACACTCAAGAGATGCATTATGCAAGAAAGGTGCTGCTGCAGTGACCAAAATACAGAAAAAAATAGTTACGGCACACTCAGACTTCTAAAAATACATAACTAAGAAGGCTACTATAAAATGCCTAAGAGAATAAATATGGGGATTTAGTTCCACCATATGGCCATATGATGTTAAGCCCACCACTGCTTCAAATTACCCCAATGTTAGTGGGTCCTACGCTAATTACAAAATGTGGGAGACAAATTAAATAGTACTGGTGCTAAAAACAAGCTACAGTGTATTAAATTAAAGGGACACTCCAGACAGCCCTTTTTACTCGCCGGGAGCCTCGTGAAGCTGCGCCCCCTATTTTGTCAAAATGACGAAATAGGCGGGCGCGAGCAGGGAGCAATCGCCAGCGTCATTGCTCCCTTGTGCACATGCTCGGCTTCGCCACACATGCGCACATACTTTATAGGGCAGCATTCATGACTGACAGCTCAGCTCGCGGTCTTTGCCCGCCCCCTCTCCTCTGCTGACAGGCAGGAGAGAGAAGGCGCGCACACAGTGCCTTCTCTCTCCTGCACACGTCAGACGTATTTTAATACGTCTGACGTGTACATGGCCTTTTTAGGGCCATACATGATAGGAAGTCCCTCTGGTGGCCGTCTGAGTGACGGCCACTGGAGGTTTTCCTATCAATCAATGTAAACACTGTATTTTCTCTGAAAATACAGTGTTTACATTACATTGCCTGCAGGGAGCTATAGATCTCACCTGAACTACTACATTAAGCTGTAGTTGTTCAGGTGACTATAGTGTCCCTTTAATTTCCTATCAATCAATGTCTCTGAAAATACAGTGTTTACATTAGATTGCCTGCAGGGCAGTGTTTACATTAGATTGCCTGCAGGGAGCTATAGATCTCACCTGAACTACTACATTAAGCTGTAGTTGTTCAGGTGACTATAGTGTCCCTTTAATTTCTTTGTAAGAGCAAAGTGAGAGGTGGCCACAGGTGTGTGTATAAATAGGAGGAGTTTTATAGTCATGTCACTTTTATTATATTCTTTATGCAGCACAGATATTATCTGCAAATGTGAGTATACTCGTTCAAGCACCAACACTTTAATTGTTTAGTTGTTACACTGTTTTTAATTGCTTTTATCACTCTTTATTTTTGTATACTCACTCAGGTTAACTTCTGTCTATCTCATTGGCATATTTACTCCTAACAAAACTTCAACAGAGTCCACAGACATGGTTTTTGCCCATAGTTTACAGGTGCTGGGCAATATGCATGCTTTGAAAAAGAATGAATCAATATGTGAAATATACTGCATTTTTTTTTTTACATTACTTCGTCATGTTTGAAATGACCATAGGACACAGATTTTTCCCGAGGTCCAAAAGTACAGATGTCATTTCACTGATAAACTTGTAAAAGTCTTGCGTAAATACATGCGTAACTAGGTGAGCTATCAAAATTGGTGCTTTCAAATAATAGCTTAATGGAATCCATTTTGCAATGAAAATGTCTTTCGGTTATTCTCATAAGCTACATTTTGACGTGTAATGTCTACGGATGGGGTCAGTAATTGTAAATGTAATTTTCCCCTCTCTTTTATTGAGCTATTCTATGTTTCCTGAGGGGAAGTCCAACTGGTAGACCATACTGCTTATTCAAAGCTGTTCGGGAGAATTGCTTTCAAAGCACTAAGCAGACAATTATGCTATTGTGTGAATGTTGTCAGTATATACACCATCCCTTAAAATGTGGGTCAGCCTCATATTACATGCAGTTTGCTGTCTATGGCAATAAACTTTCTTGTTATTTAACGTTTCGCGCTCACATTGTTATTTTCACTGAGACCTCACAAGTTGGGTGAAAGATTGACAAGCCCAAGACGAAAATGTTTAATCAAAATGTTTCTAAAGTACTTTTTTTTGCTTAGCACTAGTAATTTAATTATATTAGTAAAGTGGCAACTTTAAAAAATATATGAAGAGGCACAAATTATACTGTATAGTTCCAATACCATTAATATATAAACAATGTGGGAAGGTAATTTATTATATGAACTTTAAGATTGTATAATGCATTAAATGTAAAGAAAGTTCAGGAAACTAAATATAAATATTACATTTTACAGATGAATAGTCAGTGTGTACATTATTTTACTTTTATTTCTGATTGGCAAGTACAACACTTCAGTGTGTTATAATGTTGCGTAGTTATTATTTTTTTGTATAGATAACTTAGTTTTAGGTTTATTAAAGAAATAAAAAAAAAGTCAGTTCATGTAAAAGAAAAAAAAGAGAAGATAAAAAAATATATAAATGTGAACATTCCACCCACAATTGGCTTCAGGGTAGTATCATCATTGACACAACCTGCATCACTAGTAATTCCCATGACAAGGGGTGGTGGCCATTATGAAAAAGGCAGGTTCGTCCAGAAAGTTGGGATGCCCAACCATTAAGAGGGGAGTGTCACGCTGGCATCAAGCATGCCAGGCTGACAGACAGTCTTCTGGGCAAGCCCCCTGCATACAGGACCAGACAGGGATGGCTGTTGAAGGAAGAGGAGAAACGTCATGCTGTGCAAGATGCACCAGGCAACATGGAGGATTGCCCTGGTGATTTTAGCTAGGCTTTTTCTACTTTTGTTATGGTTTGCATTTGTATTTGCAATTACAGGGTTCTTCAGCGTATGACAGTTTTGCCTCCTCTCATGGAAGCACACAGGCTACAACACTTACAAGACATATTACATGCATATAATATGCAATCTCTCTAAATCTCTGAAAGTACTCTATGGAGAGCCAAGTCTGGTCTGTGACAAGTCACTTCAGACATCTAGATATGCCAACACTTTTAACAGTACAAGGTAAACAACAATCATTTCCATTATACATAACAAAAAATTGCATATTGTTATATATTTTGTTAAAAAAATAAACACAAAGATTAAATATCTGAATGTGTTCACAAGGATTCAAATACTGCTACAAAAAAAATAGAACATTAGTACAGTAGGTCAAAAGTATTATAAAGTATATAATAAAAACATAGAATATGAGAACAGCAAAAGCTCAGAGAAATCTCAATACCTTGACCTTCAGTTAGTCTCAAAAATGTTTTGTTCACTTGTGTAATTACAGACCTTTGCTATTTACATATCGGACTGATCCCAGTCCAGAGCAGTCCAAGCCATCTTTGGGCTTTTTCAGAGCAGTGTAGCTGATACATCTCTGTGCACAGTGAGCACTGGGTCCACATCTGAATTACTGCAACAAAAACAGAGAAAATTAGAACTCTGAGAATCAGGGCCGCCATCAGGGGGTGACAACCATGACGGTTGTCACGGGCCTGGCGGTCCTGGGGGGCCCGGACTGCACAGGTAATCCTCTGCATGCCCCCAGCCATTCAATCTGCATATATATAGCGAGTACCGTCCGCTATGTATATATGCCTCTGCGGCCCAGGATATACTTACCTTCCCCTCCAGCACTCTCGCGAGCCACAGCAGTAAAGCATTGCCGTGGGTTGTCATGACAACGCTCCGCGGCACGCAATGCATGCTGGGCTCGCGTCAGAAATAGAGCACTGGCTGGCAGTAGGGAGAACGTGGAGGGAGTCTGCTGGGCTCCTCTTTGCTGGCCCAACAAGCAGAGCCACCGGACCACCAGGGAATCCAGTGTCCCCCCTCCCTGGCTACAGGTAAGAGGCAGGGAGGGGGGGGATACATCTTTTTTTTTTTTTTTAATTATAAAAATTCAACAACAAAAAATACCTCCCAGCAGCATTTGTCACACAATCCACCACACACATACATCAAACAGACAAACTGCATCTACTACACAACCACACACATCATCCACTGCACAACCATACACATCATCCACTACACAACCACACACATCATCCACTACACAACCAAACACATCATCCACTACACAACCATACACATCATCCACTACACAACCACACACATCACCCACTACACAACCATACACATCATCCACCACATAAACACACTAACTGCATCCACTACAAAACCACACACATCATCCACCACACAACCATACACATCATCCACTACACAACCATACACATCATCCACTACATAAACACACAAACTGCATCCACTACACAACCACACACATCATCCACTACACAACCACACACATCATCCACTACATAAACACACAAACTGCATCCACTACACAACCACACACATCATCCACTACACAACCATACACATCATCCACTTCATAAACACACAAACTGCTACACAACCACACATATCATCCATTACACAACTACACACATCATCCACTACACATCATCCACTACACAACCATACCCATCATCCACTACACAACCAAACACATCATCCACTACACAACCATACACATCATCCACTACACAACCACACACATCACCCACTACACAATGATACATATCATCCACTACACAACCATAGACATCATCCACCACATAAACACACTACACACACACACACACTACATCCACTACACAAACACGCAATCTGCATTCACTATTCACATACTACATCCAGTACACAAACACACACACTGCATTCACTATACACACAATACATCCACTATACACACACACTCTGTCCACTACACAAACAAACAATCTGAATCCACTATAAACAGCGTATCCACTTTACTCACACACTTTGTATCCACTACACACTTTCTATTGCCACTATACACACACAAACAAATTCAGTACACACACACTTCATCCTTGTGGGTGGACTTAAGATGGGCCCTGTGGGTGGATTTGGGGGCGGATCATGTGGGCAGACTTGGGGCAGGTCATGTGGATTGACTTGGGGGGCGGGCCCCGGGGGGCCCAGATGGTGGGCTGTGTCAGGGGCCCCAAAATTTCTGGTGGCAGCCCTGCTGAAAATAGACAAAGATTCAGAGAATAAATAAATAAGATAAACACTGATTCAATTATTTTAACCAACTATTTTTCTGTATTCATAATAAGCATTTATGCATTGAAATACTACCTGAGGAAGTAAGTCCACTTTGATGAAAGAAACGCGTTGGACCTATTTTATTCATTTCATAATTTACGTTTGTTTTGTTTTTTTTACTCATTTGTAAGCAATAAATATATAAAAATTATTGCAAGAAGTGGCTTTCACCTTACTGCTAATCTCTGGACATATTG